TTACCATTACCTTGGGTGACATGAGTTTTTCTCACTATAGTTATGAGTCATGATGGTTTCAGGTTATGGTTAAGGACATACACCCTGAAGCCAGAATGCCTGGGTTTGAACCATTTTCTAGCTGTGTGACTGTGAGCAGGTTATGTGCTGGTTTTCCTCATCTGCAAAATGGTGATAATGTGTGCTAAGTCATTTTTGCATTATTATTATTGCCTCAGGCCCACAAGACAGGGGCCCCATTATGAGGGCAATGCCCAGTGCATCTCTGAACCACGTCTTTAACTCTTGCTGGTCAGAGGCCCACCTGTTCCTAACTACTAACTGGTTAAAAGCACATCAATTAATCCGCATTCTCTATTTTCTCATTGTTCTGTCTCTTTCCACAAAGTTTTTCTTATTTCATCTCTTCTATGTCAACCTACCAGAATGGTTTCTCCTGAAACTGTTCAAGTCCATTTCTACTAGGTAATCTGGATGGTTTTCCTTCCAACACTACCATAGATTCTCCCTCTGATTAATAGCCCTCTATCCTTATTTCTTGCATTATTCTATTTTTTTAAACCTCACACTCATACAAAAAAACTTACCAACAAACTGGATCACTCATACATTGCCGTTGGGAATGGAAAATGGTATAGCCACTCTGAAAAACAGCTTGGCAGTTTCTTAAAAACAAACAAACAAACAAACTATCCACAGCCTGGCCCACTCCAGGATGGCACAGTAAATCAGGGATGTGGGGCAGGGTCACTGTGCCTCCTGTGTCTTCTTGTTCCCTACTCTGGAAGAGGAGATAGGACAATGTGGAGAATTTACAGATCCCAGTGTGGGGGAGAAACTCTTTATAAGATGTTTCTTCCATTTCTTATGGCCTGCACCAGTAACTAAAGTGACTATATGCCAACACAGAGAAGAAACGCTGAGGTTTTGCGTTTGTCTGCTTTGAACGTGCAGAATCCCAGTCTGATGCCATAGCTCTGCTAAATGGAATTCATTTATATAGAAGATCAATTAATATGCAATATCCATTTGGGAGTTAACGCTCTTCTGAATCAACTAACCACAGTCTTGAAAGCTGTGTTAAGATAAATTCACTAGCTGCAGGAATGAAAGTTGTGGGCAGACCTTAACTGTCCCACGCAGTTTTTTCCAATTAATAATGCTGCTTTACCTCAAGAATATGTTTTCTTCCAGAAACTTTGCAGTGGCATGCATAATCCAGTGCTGAAACTCCCTTACTGTCCGATGACAGTGCCGCTTCCTAACGGACCCCCCAGCCCCTCCCCATCTTGTTCCAGATCCAGAGATTGGACCCAGCTGTTAGGAATGGACTCACCAACAAACAAGTGACTCTGATTTTTATCAGACAAGTAAACAAAAGAGGCAAAAGCAAACCGGTAATAGTGATAGAACAGAAAACAATTGAGGAAAGGAATATAGCTCAAAGTTCCGAAAGTGTACAAAGAAAAGGTATTAGTATTATGTTCAAATGAAATCTTTATCTATGGTGGTTTTAATTCTCTTAAAAGAAAAAAGAAAATTCTATCTGAATTCATCCAACAACTGATTTTATGGCTGTCACTTTTGAAATATATAATAATGTGACAACAAATTTGGTATTAAATTTACCTTGAATGACAAAAACTTAAAAATGATTTTTTTTGTATTTGTATTTGTCACATTATTGTTGAGCCATTGTCAACAAGAAATACGCTTTGAGTTGTTTTATTAGATCCCAGGACACTGAGATCATGACCTGAGCCAGAGACAGACATTTAACCAACTGGGCCACCCAAGCACCCTCAGAGTTGCAACTTTTCCTAATGAAGACTAAATAAGCAGGCTTTAATTTCCTTTAATACTTTAGAAAAGTATTTTTTCAGTCTAAATATGTTGTTTCTGAACCTTCCTCTTCTGTGAGTTTATTTCATAAATTGAGGACATATGACAGTGATACCAAAGGAAAGATAACGATCATAGGAGTGGTCTTTGGATCATTCCCTTTTGATATGATTGTATGTAAATATAGATATCTGCTTTCTCATTTATTAATTATATTTAGTGAAAATTAGTTGGCTATGCAGTATTATTATCCACTTCCTTTACCAGCTAGGTTTGAGAGGGTATATTTAACATACTTAAATCTTGATAAATTAATAAAAAAGTAAACAGAATATTTCATTAAGGTATGATATTTAATATTTATTGTCTAAATCAAATTTCCTATTTAAAATAAATGGGTTATTTGGGGGGAAAACTAAGTATCATACAATCCAGCAGTTGTATTACTGGGCATTTAGCCCAGAGAAATAAAGATTTATGTTTGCAAAAAAACCACGTGAATGTTCATAGCAGCTTTATTTGTTATAACCATAAAATGGAGACAATCCAGATGTCCTTAAATGAAGAATAGTTAAGCAAGCTGTATATCCATACCATGGAATACTACTTATCAACATATAGAAATTAACTATCGAGGGGCACCTGGGTGGCTCAGTCGTTAAGGGTCTGCCTTCCGCTCAGGTCATGATCCCAGAGTCCTGGGATGGAGTCCCACATTGGGCTCCCTGCTCCGCAGGAAGCCTGATTCTCCCTCTCCCATTCCCCCTGCTTGTGTTCCCTCTCCCACTGTGTCTCTCTCTGTCAAATAAATAAAATCTTAAAAAAGAAAAGAAAGAAACTATCAATATATGCAACATGGATCTAAAGAGCATTAGGCTGAATGAGAAAAATCAATCTCCAAAGGGAATATACTATAGGATTCCATTTATACAGCATTCTTGAAAGGATGAAATTATACAATGGGGGAACAGATGAGTGCTTGCCTAGGATTAAGGAGAGAGTGAGCGTAGGAGGGGAGTGGCATGGCTTTAAAAAAGCAAGATGAAGGATGGGACTGTTCTGTATCTTGACTCTATCCTGGTTTTGACATTGTACTGTAGCACTGCAAGATGTTACCACTGGGGGAACCTCAGTATAGATAAACTTGGTCTCTGTGTTATTTCTGGGTATTATTTCAACTGCATGTGAATCAGCAATTATCAGGGGAAAAAAGTTTCAGAAAAATGATTTGTGAATTTTTACTTGCCCTTTTTATTTTCCTTTTGGATTAATTTGCATATCATAGATATGATACCTTTTATTATTATATTCTACATTCAGTCTCATTTTTTTAAAAAAGGTTCCTTTAAAGCTGGGCATCTTTGTTACATTTAGAGAAATACAAATATATAAAAATATAAACACAGAGTGATTTCCCCTGATTGTTTTGACCTACCTTTTCAGCTCAATGTTCCTCTATCTTTACTCATATTTTTAACTTTTTTGTCATCTATTTTAGTATTTGCAAAATCATAAAATGAGGAACGGGCAAAGTTGGTTTCATACAAAGTGCCAGTCAGGATATATTAAAAGCAACGTGTTTGGGAATGGTAGCAGAAACCTCTCACTAGAGAGCTTGGAATCTCTGCGTTGACCTTGAACTCCGACAGTCAACAGCGCTTGTGGTCCCGAGCCAGGTCAGGGCCCCCGGCCGTGGCGTCCCTGGGAGCCCGGCCTCTGCGCCCCAGCTGGATGCAGCGGGATCCACCACCTTCGTGCTTTAATAGCGGCCCCGCGCGGCAGCGGAGGGAACTGCAGGTGTTCAGCGGCAAACTTGGCCATTGTGCTAAGCACAGGTACAGCGGGTCAGGGTCACATTCAGTCCTGATTCTGCCCTGGGAAGTGGGTGGGCAGGGGGCTGGGTGACCGGCCACTCCTGCTCGCATGCACTGGACCACCCTCTGGAGTGCTCACAACAAAGGGACATGAAGAGTTCATGGGATTTGTGAAGGTTCAATTGTGGCAATTAATGCCAAACAGTTTTCCAAAACGGGTGTAGTTGCTATCCATCATCCCTATCTCCATCATATTTTTAATTTTTTTCGTTTTGGTGGTGTGAAAGGGCATCCCATCTTGGGTTATTTTGACCCTTCAGGATTTGTTTTACTCCTATCCTTCCCCATCTCACTAAGAGGAACCATCAACCACCCACACCCTCAAGCCAAAACCTCCAGTCACCCTAAATTCCTCTCTCCCCTGCCTTCACATGAGCGGGTCCTGTTGGTTCCACTTCCAAACACATCTTTTCACTTCATCTCCACCACTACCTTCATGGTCCAAACTACTGTCTCTGTCTCTCTCTCAAAGCTCCCATAGATCTCCCTCCATCCCTGCTAATCTACATCCCCACTCAAGTGCACAAGCAGAGACAATGACCTTCCTGAGACAGAAATTCTGGCATTCCCTGTTGAAAAGCTGGCTCCTCCCTACCTCTGCAACATCCTCTGTTTACTAGATTGCAGTCATATGGGCCTTGGTGTCATCTCTGACCATGTCAAGACCTTTTGCACCCACCAGGGAAGGCTCTCGCTCAGGATGACTGCCTCATTTTTATCCTTCAGGTCTTAGTTCAAAAGTCTCCTCTCCATGGACAGGTCTTATCTAAATTAGGACCGCACACCGAATTCCTCAGTCACTTACTCTTTCGTATCACCATGGTTTTCCCTTCCTGACAACTCTGTAGGATAATGGGAGATTCTGGTATTTATTTATAGTTTGTCCACTCCCCCGGAATATAAGTTCTGTAAAAGCAGAGATTGTGTTTATTTTGATCACACCTAAATTCCTAGCATCTCGCAGCATGTCAGTTCAGGGAAGTCATTCAATAAAGATTTTTGAATTAATACATAGACAAAACCATTACTTTTATTTAAAAAAAAAAGTGTAAATGTGGCTACTACAGCATGAAAACACATCAGGAGGTATGAGAATGACACAAGAGGGATTCACTCATATCAAGCAACAGCATGGATTTCACGTGAAATCAGATGAATCCATTCCCTAGAATCCAATAAACATTCCTGTGAGCTCACTTGCTCTGGGAATGGGATACATCCACCGGAAATATGTTAAAAAAAAAACAAAAACAGGTGGTAGAACTGAAATAGGGACATTAAGGGAAATGGATAATGTTAACTAAGCATTGTTTATAAATCCAGATCCTAATTCAAAGTATGTTACAAAAAGGGGAGTCTGAAGTAATGTTATTCTTATACCTCTCACAAAAACAAAACTTCTAGAGAAGCTGAGGGCCTGGGAATTTTATAGAGTTTTTGCATGGGAGGCAGGAATTTTGCCTTTTGAACAAGAACAAAAATCTTAGGACACAAAGAAAGCATGTCTTTTAAAAACTGATTTCACAGTAATTATTCTATACATTTTGAGTAATCTTTATATTACTTTTAAGCATATCAAACTAATTCATTTATTTCCCTGTTAATAAAGAAGAGGTACATTCACAGAATTAGTGCACTTAACAAGTAAACAGAGAAAACAGGAGATCGAGAGTCAATAACCTCTTCAATGGCAAATTTGATCACCTCAAAACACAAACTTTTGCTGATTTTCAACTGCTCTTCTCATACTTAATGTTACAAATATGGCTGGTTTAGCCTGCCAGCTTTTCAGGACAGCCCAACACAGGATAATCCAAAAATGCATTGAGACTGGTATAGAGTCCATGGAGTTTTGTGTGTAATATTAAGAAAACCCTTTTAACTTTGATGTTCAAGGCCAGGAGCATCCTTCTCCCAATGTGTATCGATCCAGGATTCTTAAGCCTAGATTTCATCAGGTAAGAGGGCAGTCCGTTCCTCCTCTGTGCCCACGATATTTTGGAGTTTAGATCTGCATAAAGAAAAAAAAGAAGAGAACCTCAATAGTTCCCATCTTAAAAAAAACCCCAGTACCTACATCTCTACCTTTCCCCCTAAATGCATCTACCAAGTAATGAGGCTTTGAGTGCCCAGAAATCTGCTGACTGGAAAAATAGATATAGAATGGTTATTTCTTTTCCATTCCCACAGGTTGATTTTTAAAGGGAAAAAAAGCTCAAGAGTTGACCATACCTTCTTCTCCGTGAGTGCTCCCACAGATAAAACAAGCCCATCGTTAGTCCCTTGAAAACAATTAAAGGGACTGGTTAATGCCAATTCTCCAGGTCACATTTTTCCACAAATGTAAGGAAGATGAAAACAAAAGACTGATTACTCACACTTGTTAGAGCCCAAAGGCCTTGGACAGCAGCTGCCCATTCAAAACCAATTTTCTCATACAGGAACCCACCCAGTGTTGGTCCTATAAAAGCACTAACAATGAAAAGAAGAGTCTTAAATAATGTTAACAAAAAAAAAAAAAGAATTACTTCCTAAAGGCTGCACAATTCCTCAATCATAAATCTATATTAAATTGGAACTGTAAGCACTAAAGACAAAAGCCAGTTCCTGGACAGAGCACTGGCTGTGAGAAAACAATTGTACTTGATAATGATGATGTTTAAATTTTTTAAACAGTTTTAAATTATAACTGCTTCTGAAAAGTTGGTGCCTTACAGAAAAATTTTAAAAAGGTGACACGCCCCCAAAAGAATCTTTATATTATTCTCTCTATTCTTCTCCGTATTTGTATTTATTTTTCTTTAAGATTTTATTTATTTATTTGTGAGAGAGAGAGCACAAGCAGGGGGAGCAGCAGGCAGAGGGAGAAGCAGGCTCCCCGCTGAGCAGGGAACCGATGCGGGGCTCGATCCTAGGACCCTGGGATCATGACCTGAGCTGAAGGCAGACGCTTAGCCGACTGAGCCACCCAGGCGTCCCTCAGTATTCGTATTTAAAATAATTTAATTTGGTACATATTTATTGGGATATACTACAATGCCAGCACATGGTTACCCCTCAGGTATAGCAAAGAGTAAAAAATGAACAAATGAATGAATACATTTTTAAAACTTGAGATATGCCCCTGTTAAAGGAATTTAGAAAGATCACTTAAAAAAGACAAAACATAGGGGACCATTCTGATGAGGTTTTAAAGCTGCTGGTATAACCACTGATCTTAGAGGCAGAGGGTGTGGGTTAGGACTCCAGCTCTGCTCTAAACGGATTAGGTGCCTTTCAGCAATTCATCGGACTTCTTGGTGTCAATTTCTTCATGGAAATGAAGATAGTATTTTCTATCTGGCAGGTGTGAATGAAATGGCTACTCACCCAACTGACCACATTGCACTGAAGAGACCTGACACGAGTCCCAAGGTGCTTAATCCCTCCTCAAAGCCATTTTCGCTGCAGAGACACAACAGTAGATCTGTTATGAAAAGGGAAACCTACATGAAAGCCAAATAGCGTGTGACAGATAAGTTAAAATAGACCGGAAATGATCTGAATAAAACCAACAGCCAGAACACTCCATTTCTAAGATGAAAAGCTAATCTAATTTGAAGGAATTTTCATAGTTATGTTGACTCTGTGGTTTTCTAAAAATAATTTTATTGCATACATAAAGCATGATATTGAGTCATGACCCATTTGCATGAAATCTCATAAAAAACATATAATTAACGAAAAAATTCTTAAAATGAGATGAACATGCAAAGAGAATAACGGGAAACTTTTAGAAAACCCAGAGGCAGGTCCTTATTGCTTGGAGAATTGCTGACTTGAGCCAGCAGAGCTCGGGCTGTCCTCCCTGCTCCAGATCCCTTGGTGTTCTTCGTCATCATGCCTCCTAAACAAAAGACTGGTGGCCAAGTGACAAATGCCTGCTGTGATATTGGGATTTATAATAAGAAATATATATTTGGTGTTCCTCCTGTTTCTGGCATAGAGCCCCCAATACCCTTGGAATTTCCTGAGGAAAGCAATTTCAAGTGCCTTTGGTCATGTGAATGAGGTGAGTCTCAGGGGCTGGATGCCAAGAGAGCCAAGCATGTGATTAGAGGGTTAGAACCTTCAGTCCCATTCCTGGAACCCCCCACCTCTGAGGAGGGGACAGGGGCTGGAGGTTGAATCCATGGCCAATGGTCACTGATTTAATCAACCATGGGTATGTAATGAAGTGTCCCTAGTAAACCAAAAGGATGGGATGAGAGACCTTCCAGGTTGGTGAACCAGAACCCTTCCATATGCCAGTGTGCGGGGCCCCAAACCCCACAAGGACAGAAGCTCCTTTTATCAGGACTTCACCCTATGGATCTTTTCATCTGCATGTTGATTCATATCCTTTAATCTCTTTTGTAATAAACCAGTAAATCTAATGAGTACACTGGTTTCCTGAGCTCTGTGAATCACTCTGGCAAATTAATTGAACTTAGGGACCTCTGGGAACCTCTGATTTACAGGCCAGTCAGTCAGGAGTACATGTAACAGCCTGGACTTGCAATGAGCACCTGGAGCACAGGGCAGTCTGTGGGACGGAGCCCTTCACCTCCGGGATGTGACGTTCTCTCCAGGTAGATAGTGTCAGAATTGAGTTGCATTGTAGGACACCTAGCTGGTTCTGGAGAGTTGCTTGGTGGTGTGGGAACCACCCCGACCTCCTAAACCCCCCAACACACTGGAGATGGTACTAGAATCATTTTACCTGGTGATTGTATGCCCTTGTTGTGGACCTTCTCCATGAGAAGGAAACAATGCTGAGACCTTTCCATTGTGCTTTGGCTTTTCAAAAGTATATGTGTTCCTAGACATAAACCAAGCCAAGCCTCGATCCACAACTCATTCTACCTATCACTGTATTAATATTACCATATATTGTCATCTATACTATAGTATCATTGCATATACTACCTGTATCGCAATATTGTGTGACATAAAATCATGAAGATTTGGTCTTGTGAAAAAAACTCCAACATCCTACAAAACTGAGAAATTCAAGAAAGCGTGTGATGCTCCCTGCTATTCACAACACAGCTCCTCAAGCACAGCAGTAACTTACTACGCACAACTGAGGATTTCCGGGATAGTTGGAATTATACTCATTCCTGCAGAGATGCCGTTCAGGACTAATATTAGCACCAGCAGCCAGAGCTGACTGCAAAAGAGTTTTGGAGAAAGAAACAAATCAAAACAACATTAGCATGTTGACAGACACAAAACCTCACATTAAGGAGGGCAGGCTGAATCCCAGATTCAATCTGTTTCACAGATTACATGGCTAGTCTGCCTCATTCCCATCTGATCCCACTTCATTCAGTGACAGCACCCTTACATTTTGGTGGGGAGGGGTGGGGGAAATCAATTCACCATGATATCTCAATTTCTTTGGTCACACATGTTGCCTGGAGTCAACATGATAAGAGGTTATCACCGTACAAAATCTTTTCAAAATTGGCTAAATATTAATGTTGCTCCTTCCGTCACTTAGCTTTGAAATTCAATTGACTGAAAAAAATGGTGTAGAAGTAAAGTGGTAAAGGAAGTGACAGGAAACCAATTTTGTTCCACTTCCTGCACTGTGCCATTTACTTAATATCCATTTCCCCGTTAAACCCTTGCAGCAATATCCTGCCAAGTGAGCATTACGATCAGATAAGAAAACTGAGGCTCTTGGAAGCTAAATGATTGGCCCGAGTTCCCATATCTAGTAAGTGGCAAGGGCAGGATGCAAACCCAAATCTGAAGGACCCTGAGATCCCTGCTCTTCCATGTCACACTTTATCCCAGGATTACCTGAAAAGCTCTAAGCTCCCTTTATTTCAGCAAACAAATTACATTTAACAAGCTCCAATGAGCAGCTACTACATGCTAAGAATGAGACAGAAACAAAAGAAAGATTTGATCCCAGTCTCAAGGATCAAGAAAGAATAGAAAAAACAAAAACATATTGTAAGAACTATCAGCTAAAAGTAGGTAGCAACAAATGCTATTTTTAAAATAAAGTACAAACAAGTGTGCAGTTGAAACGCAAAGGGAAAAGCAGCATTTTTCCTCATTTGAGATAGATTTTAGGCATTTCTACTTCTATTGGCTTGGACCACCGCTAGCTCTGAATAAGGTAAAATACTGCCAGTCTAACAATTCGCTACAGTCCTAAATCAAGGTAATTATTGAAGTAATACAGTTCAAAATATGAAGCCATGCCCTCATCCCACCAAAAATTTCTTTAATAATTCTTAATGCTATTCTGCCAAAAATACAGAAAAAGGAAAAACATTACCTTTTAATGTGCAAGACTGGGATAGGTCCTAAGAGCATGTAGCATCCTGCCGTGATTATGTTTCCCCAAACCAGAAACCATTTCCTTAGATGCTGGTAAAGAGAAGGAGAGTCCAAAAAAAAACCCTGAGAAGTAAAGCTCCTCCGTAAACAAAGCATATGCAAAAAAATCATTGAAGAACACAAGCCAGGACATGAAAAACATCCAAATACATTGAAGAAAACAAAACTTTACATTTAAGAGAAAATAGGTAGATGGTAAACAGAAAAGCAAGGACAATATACCCCGAGCTAGGGAGTTTCTAAGGACAGGGATTTCTTGGGAAGGGAGTGTATTAGAGATTTTGCACACGATGAACAATTCCAAAAATAACAGTTTAAAAAGCAGTCACCACAAGGAACTACCTTGTGGTGATGTGGTAGATGCAATCCACAGTCACATTATTTAAAAAGTACCCAATAAAATTATTCCTTTTAAAATACTTGAGTGCAGGCTGAAAATTCTTGGGGCAAAATATCTGCTCAGTTATAGAAGACGGTCTTAACATGTATCATATGACCTCACTGATATGAGGAATTCTTAATCTCAGGAAACAAAGGGAGGGTTGCTGGAGTGGTGGGGCGTGGGAGGGATGGGGTGGCTGGGTGATAGACATTGGGGAGGGAATGTGCTATGGTGAGCGCTGTGAATTGTGCAAGACTGTTGAATCACAGACCCGCACCTCTGAAATGAATAATACATTATATATTTAAAAAAAAAAAAAGATAGTAGGAAGGGAAAAATGAAGGTGGGGAAATTGGAGGGGGAGACGAACCATGAGAGACTATGGACTCTGAGAAACAAACTGAAGGTTCTAGAGGGGAGGGGGGTGGGGGATGGGTTAGCCTGGTGATGGGTATTAAGGAGGGCACATACTGCATGGAGCACTGGGTGTTATACACAAACAATGGATCATGGAACACTACATCAAAAACTAATGATGTAATGCATGGTGATTAACATAATAAAATAAAATTTTAAAAAAAGGTGGGGATAAAAAAAAAAGAAAGAAGATGGTCTTAAAACCCAGTTCCAAATGCTGTTTAAGACACTTGCTTTTTGTCACCCAGATTACGAAGTAATCTCCATGTAATTTAGGTCTTGATAAATATTTAAGTAAGTTTAATGAAGAGGAGAAATGCAAAATAAATAAATAAACACTAAAGCCACAGAAGCTGGAGATTTGGTGATCAGTACTGTAAACCAATCATCTGGAATGAATGGTTTAGACCTAGGCAAAGGAGATTAGAAGGGATATTCTATCAGGATGGCCACAGGATAGCCAATGTATATTTATGTAGCCAATCCTTTCATGCCCACAGAAAATCTAAGTTATCTCCACTCAATGTGCCCAAGTCCTAACTACTTCTGGGACTCCGCCCTAATTTTTAAGGCCAATCCAATGTTCTTTTGCATCAGGGGACTTTTTTCCTTTAGAAAGTCAAATCCTATAGTTTGTCAATAGCTTCAGTACAGACTCCTTTTTCCCCAGAAGAAGCAATTAATAGTGAATTTTCTCAGAGTGATGGCAGGTTGGAAGACACTGGAACCTCTCCATCGACTCCAAAAATTGAATATAGAATTTAAATGTTCTTGGCCCCTCAAAAAAAAAAAATTAAAAGATGATACAGAGGTGATGGATGTGTAATTAACTAGATGGAAGGCACTCTTGTATTCAGATCCCAAATCACCATGGTGTACACTTTAAATATCTTACAATTTTATTTCTCAATTATATATTAATAAGCTGAAATTTTTTTTAAAAGATTGAATATCAATTCTAATCAGTGGACCTCTAGAGTTCCAGAAGTACAGTCGGAAAGCCACTGGTCTAAATATACAAAAGTGATTCTTAAATGTAGATTCAGTGTACGTACTGGTATTTTATCACTCAGTAGTCCAAACAATGGTGAAGAAATGGCATAGGATAGTGCCAAACCCAGGAATACCAGTCCCACATATCCAGCTGGTAAATTAAACTGTAAAAGAAATTTTATATTAGAGTTATGTGTTTAAGTCATTTTAAAAATAAACATAAATCTTTTCTAGCCACTTCTTCAGTTCTTGTTACCTTGAACTGCTTCCACACAGCATCCATCCTAATTGTGATCTTACTTTTGTAAACGGATTCCTTTTTCTCTATGAGGGGAAGAAAAACCTAACCAGAGGTCAAAAGTCCTAGATGTCTTGCTTTGTAGCATTTGATTTTGAACATATAATTTTGCTTCTATGACTCATAGCATTTTTTACCATGTAAACCAGCGTTTCATAAACTTTAGTGTGCATTAGAATAACTTGGAGAGCTTCAAAGAGGTTCTTAGTTGGAAACAAGGTGCTAACGTGCCTTGGTTCAAGGGATGAAAAAAAAAAGAGGTTCTTAGACTTCAGCCCTAAGACTTCTGGGACCAGAGAATTTGCATTTCTTTTTTTTTTTTTTAAGTAGGCTCCACGCCCAGCATGGAGCCCAACCCAACATGGGGCTTGAACTCATGACCCTGAGATCAAGACCTTAGCTGAGATCAAGAGTGGGACACTTAACTTACTGAGTCACCCAAGCACCCCAAGAATATGCATTTCTAATAAGCAACCAGGTGATGCTGACTGCTCATAGACTGAAATGCACTGGTGTAAAAAACACTGAGGATAATATCTATCCTATCCATTTCAAAGGGATGTTAATATCTAATTAAAGAATTAGATGGTAGGATACATTACAAAAGGCTTTTAAAACAGTAAGCTACCACACAACTTTGATATTGTAACTATTACCGCCTTTCTTTGGTTAACTTAAGTTGTTCCCATTTCCCTTAACTTCCTTAACTAATTCTTTTAAGTAAGCCCATGAGATTTATATATGAGTCCATATGTGTTTTAACAATTTTTATGACAAATTAGTCCTTTAAAGATACTAGTAGGTAGAAAAAAAGTCAGAGGTGTCTTCTTCTGATTTTATAACTGGGGGAGACAGGGTGGAACCCTCCTACCCTAAAAGGCTAGGTGACAAATGACGGGACAGTAAGGTGCCAGTTCAAACAACTGGTGAGAAGTCAGAAGAATGGCAACAGGTTTTTGATAGAAAAACAGGAAAATACAGAGATACATTTCTAAGTGTATTTAGAAAATGTACTTAGAAAATAATATTTGTAAAGATTTCTGATAAAATAGTCATAAGCAACTTGGATTTACCAAAGATTGGTTATGATATTTTTTCCTTGTTTAGGTAGAAATTCTTCAGAAGATAGAAAAATGACTCTTGAAGAGATACATTGTTGATGATGGGAAGGGCATGTGTCATCATAAACACAAAATATGTTTCTTGTTACCTCATGGATGCTCACACAAGATATTATATTATTTTCTAAATGTTGGGCCAGGCACTAAAATCACAGTCTCCATGTTTATCTTTTTGGGTATCTCACATACCCAAAACTGTCTCTATGATTTCGAGGAGCTGTGTTTCTGGTAACTGTGCTTTTTGAATTCCCATACCTCACATACTGTGTGGGCTGCAGTTAGAGTTCTGCCTTTATAAACACATACTAGTTCTTCAGTATAATTAACTATCAGACTTAGTAATGCACTTTATCACATTATTAATCTTTTTTTCAGAAATACCTAAGAGCAAATTTCTACAACATCCAACTTTTAAATTCAACATTTATTTTCCAGCACTCAAAAAAAAAAAATTGAGAGAGACTCTTGATTCCTTTCTACCATCCCAGATTAATATATTCCATAGCCATTTCGTCGTATGTAATAGCCTAAAAAGTAAGTGGACCCAGAGGGGATCTGTTAGAGAAGAACATTAAAATGAGCTACTGAGTACCCCAAATGTCTCACTGGAATTCAAACAAGTAGAGGAAAGTATCCTTGTCGAGCAGCCAGAACTGTCATGACTCAAGCAAGACCTTGAAAAGGAGACAAGTATTCGGGCCACTTAGTGAAAATCTTCTTTCGTTTACCCTGAATCAGACCCCTAGTCAAAGGGATGTCACAGAGGGAAGGTACAGGCTTCTGGGGTACAGTTCTCACCCTGTCTCCTTCTCACAGTCATCCAGAGCTCTTTCCACAAAGCAGGACCCAAGAGCAAGCAATCATACCTACCAAAGTGCAGAGCTCTTTGACAATCAGGTTACCTACCTTCTCCAGGACAAAGAGAGACAGAGTAGGATCAAGGAAGCCAAAACATGAGCTGAGCGAGTTGATGACGAAGGCTATGAGAGCGACCTTGGGTAAAGTGATGAGTTTCCAGAATGAGTGTTCGCCTGGATCAGAGTCTTTGGGTAAAAATTTAAAAAAGAAAAAAACAAAACAAAACAGAGTAATTAAAATTTTTAACTACTTTGAAAAGTAAAATTGGTAAGGCCATCTTTATTTGGTAATCAAAATAACTGCACCTCTGAGTTTGCCTAAAATTGCCTATTATCTATATTTGCATATAAATTATTCAAACCTAGAAGCCCCATTGAGTTTTCTTAAAAACAATTTCTCAAATTCATAAAGAATCAACTGGAAGTAGAGTGTGAGAAGAGAGGTCTTAGGTTATAGGTTATAAATGAGAAGCAAGTGAGGCCTTTCCCAGATGGGATAGAGAATATGTAAATTTAGCTTTGGTGCATGGGAAAAGCCAGAAGCTTTATCAAGGAACAATGGGTGTATGCTGAGAAGGAATCTAAGTTCATCAAAGAGCACAAAACAATTTTTTTTTTTTTTCTGATGGCAAAGAAAACACCAGATTGAGAGGGGTGCTACTGAATCATGCGTAAATTACACTGGCATTCAAGGTCAACTGCACGGACCTCACTTCTAGCATTCCCCTTGCAGGAACCCAGCTTCTTCACTGTTCCCAGCAATAGGAATGGTTGTTTCCAAGCCTCGAGTCACATGCTATGGCTCCTTTCTTTTCCTCCTGCTATTTTTTCAAATTCTATCCACTCTGTAAGGTCTGGCTGTGGCCCACAAATTTTACCTTCCTCTGTTTCCTGCCTCACTTCTGGTCTCTCCCGTACCTTTCAGCACCTAAACTACATTTCGTTTTACATTGTTTACTATTGTTTGGTGATTTTCCTATCTGCCCGTTAATTTACTGAGCAAAATCTTTGCTGAGTCAGGTACCATGCAAAACGCTAGGCAGACAAAGGCAAAGAAGACAGACCCAGGCCCTGTCCTCACAAAGGAGTTACAGGAAGGAATGGAGAGAGCTAGGATGGAACCAGGAGGGGACCTCCAGAGCATATGAGAGAACTGCCTTAACCAACCAACCAACCAACCAAACAAACAAACAAAATCAGGGAAAGCCATATAAAGAAGGCTTCCCTAAAGTAGTGCTATCTAAGTTGATGCCCAAAGCATGAGCTTAAGATGAGCAAGCAAAGAAAGAGGAAAGAATAAGCCAGGCACGTTATTCCAGGAATGGTACCTTCCAAGACTCAGAAGTCAGGAACACTATTCTGTGTTTGAGGAAATGAAATGAGAGAAGCAAAGCTGGAGGATGGAGACTGGCGTAGGGGTCACCAGCAGCGTGGAGAGAGATCATACTGCAGAAGCATGTTTATGCAAGACTCTGTAAAACATGCTTAGAAGCCTGAGAAATCCCTAGGGAATCCAAACAAGGGGTAGGAATCAGATCTGTGGTTTAAAAAGACGTCTCTGTGGCCTTGGGGAGAATGAAGACAAGGGGACCAGTCAGGAGCTGCTACAGCGCTGGGCCAGAGATGATACTGGCCAGGTGTGGACATGGAAGTTCTTCGAGGGCAAGGATCAGCACTTGTAGATCCTCGTTTCTCCAAAAACACTTGTCATGGTTCATTACTTAATTCTTGGTGAATAAGGAGCCAGTATGGAGCAAAATACAAAAAAAGTACAAAGAATGGTTCAAGAATTTTGAGTGTTACATTTAGACTTGGTCAGGATTCAAGGGATAAAGTTACACCATGATGTTAGTTTCTTATTTATCAGCCAAATAGTCAGTGGTGAACCAAATGTGAGCACAGTCCAGGATGCTCAACTACAGAAGGTGTGCAGTTAGACTTAGAAAGAAGACAAACACCACCAGATGGCTTGGTGCAATAGGGCCAGCAGGGAGAGACTTCATTTGGTGTGGACTTTGAATGGTTTATTAAAGATGTTCATTAGTCACCTTTGAGATATAAATTATAGAAGATCAATTTTAATCGGTTATATTTATTTGCATATAAAAGGCATTATGGATTTATGGTATAAGATAAACTATTATGGCAGAAATGGTCGCCTTCTCTAAATCCAAAGTGGGAAAAATGAGAAATCACAATGAGAATACATAAGAACGCCCAAAGAAGCAAACACATGAGTTTAATTAAACTGTGGAAGAAACTCAAGTGATGAAAGCCCCTTAGGATGAGATATCTGCTTCAAGAGACACATGGCAGAATCACCTGGGGAGCTTTTCTAAGCTACTCAGGTACTCTCTCTGCTCCCCACAATTTTGCCCTATTCTTTTAGAGGGATGGGACCCTTGGTTGACAATGCTGCCACAGGAAGCTACTGTTAGAGGTGGGGAAGCAGGGAGGGAAGTGGGGTACCCCTTATGTATGAGGGGGCGGGAAAAATGCTGACCACTGCAGCACTACTTACTCGGCATTTAGTTGGACGACTGAGAAGGTTCGGAAAGACTTCCCAGAAGAGGTAATACAAAGTAAGTTTTGAAGGATGAGGAGGGGTCAGAGCAGATGGGAAGGGGAGAGATTTCAGATCATGTGATTCCTCTACTGAAGTCTCACAACAGCTCCTCATGGCTTTCAAGACAAAGCTCACGCTTCACAGATTTAGGGATCTTTAATAAGAGGACTGGCACATCACATCCGTGACTGTTTTAGAAATACTTCATTAGAGCAGTACAGAAGAGGGGACTTGGTGAGCACATACAAAGGATAAGAGAGAGGGAGAGACTAAAGTTGACTCTTAAAACCCCAGAGCTAGAACCACGCTGTCTTATGAGTCTAGGAGGAGGTAAAGGAGTGGGGTAGAACTGGTGGGACACAAAATTCTGCCAATATCATCAAAATAAAAGAAAATTTCATTTTCTAGCTTCTATCCATAAGCTCTCCAAAAACATTAATTTTAGTAAGTACTCCTTCAGAGGAACACCTAAATCTGTATTTACAGTCTTCACATTATCAATCTCAGAGTTTTTTTTAATACCAATTTTTTCCATTCAATCTAAATAGAAGATCCTTCCATAGATGAACAGCAACTTTGCCAAACCATTTTGTTCATGAAAATATAGCTAACTGGGACTTTGTTAAGTTCAGTGAAAATGCTAGGAGGTTTTAATCGAGGAATAACAGAAATGCGGAGAAATAAGTGCCAAGTCACTAGGGTGGTGGCAGTCAGGAGGGGCTGCAAAAGATACCACGTGGTGGGGGGAGGTAGGAGGTAAGGAGAGCAGGCCAAGACTCTAGAAGTAAAAATGAGGGGCCGGTCTAGGGCCTCATCACTGTTCTAAATACCCTGTCCTCCCATGAATTAATAAGCAAAGTCTTTTTTCCCTATACAGTGTGGTAAAGGGTTGACAGAACTCTTTTCCCCACTGCATGAGACCCAGACTTGGTGTCAGTTTCTTGATTATCAGCCCAGTGTTCATCTGTGAACCAAGCAACCAGGATGCTTGACCACAGAAACCACTGTCTTATAAGCAGAAAGCCTGACAAGTACCGCCTTGCTTTTCAGGGGGGTAGCGCTTCTCTAGAAACTTTCTCTAGCTCTCTCCTCTCCAGCCTTCAAGTTAGCTCTCCAGCTCTGTTCCCTTCATCACCTGATAAGGGTCAAACGCCAACGATGTTACTAGGCAGTCTTGCTGGTAATAAAAATAACCTTTTTGTGGTAAATGTCATCCTTAGAGAAGGAACTAGAAATGAAACACCATGCTTGGTGCCTCCCTGAGTGTGCTGACTCGAGCACGTCCCTCATGGTGACCCCAGTGGCTTATGTCCATGGAGCTGTTACAGGATAGGTTGACTCTTATGTGGCATGAAGGTTTGAAGCCAGGGTGACCACCATTACTGCCCGATGCGGCTCTGTGTTCTCCCACCGGCAGCTGGGAGGACCACTGGGGAGAAGGTCTGACCCCGCCCTCTTGCCTGCAGGCCTTCCAAGAAGACAGTGCCATTTGTGGCCTTTGATAACTTGTCATTCCGAATACTGAATTAAGTCCAAGAAGACCTCTGGTGGGCACTTCAGAGGGTGATGTTTTATGATGAGAAATTAAATATCTGTTAGTTCTAAAGGTTAGAAAGAATTTGTAACATATAGAAATTCATATAAACTGCCTACAGCAACATTTCTGAAAAGAGAATCAGTTCTTTCAGGGTGTTCCATAAATCTATTATCGATTATATAAAAAAGTGAGTATTTGTTAAATTGGTCTCCTATAAAGGCATAAAAATTCTTAAATTCCAAATTCTTAAAATGAGTAATAAATGCGGTCTTACCATAATTAGGTAAAATGTACACGTTGAGTGGTACCATCAGCAGAACTATGCATCCCAGAAAAATAAAAGGCACCTCATAGCCAAAGGATTGATACAAGAAGCCACCTAAAGGAGGCCCTAACACTAGTCCCAGTCCAGAAAAAATCTCAAGACTTCCCTAAAAATGGGGGGGGGGAAAGAAAATTGAGTCAATATAGTTTGTTTGAAGAATTAACAAATAAAGATTTAATGGACACTATCTGAAAAAATTCTATCCACTTCACAATTTATACACACAAACCCGTACAAACCCAAGATGAGCCAAAAACTTAAACATACATATTGAAATCATAGAAATACTAGAAAAATAAAATATGGCAGGCTTTTTTTTTTTAAGATTTTATTTATTTATTTGACAGAGAGAAAGACAGCGAGAGAGGGAACACAAGCAGGGGGAATGGGAGAGGGAGAAGCAGGCTTCCCACTGAGCAGGGAGCCTGATGCGGGGTTCAGTCCCAGGACCCTGGGATCATGACCTGAGCCGAAGGCAGATGCCCAACGACTGAGCCACCCAGGCGCCTGGCAGGCTTTTTTTTTTTTTTTTTTTTTTAATACTTATGGTGGGGAAGTTTTTCTAATTGCAACATAAAACTCACAAGACACAGAAGAAAAAAATTCATAAATCTGATTACATGAAAATATGAAAAACAATGAATGGTTTAAGTACATCAAAAGACAAATGAAGAACAGGGAAAAAATACTGACAAAGGACTAATTTCCCCAAATATATCAAGACAGCTAATACTAATCAATGGGAGGAAAAAATGAACAACCCAATAGGAAAATGAGCAAATGCTATAAGTAGACTATTGACACATAAAACAAAATACAAATAGCTCTTAGGCATGTAAAACAAAACGCATCCTCACTTTCAAAAGAAGCAAACGGTTAAACCACAAGATACCAGTTTTTACCAATCACCCATCAAATGCTCTGCTGCCAAAAAAAGTGAGGAAAGCAACCCACACATACAGTGCTGGTGAATGAACACAGGAGGGTGATTTGGCAAATCCATCAATATTACAAACGCACATACTCTCTGACCCAGAATGCCATTCCAGAAATTTAATGTACGGGCACAGCCGTAAAGATGTGATATGGTATATGCACAAGCTTATGTGTTGTAGCACTGTTTACATCAGCAAAAGATGTAGACAATCTAAATATTCATCAACCCTTTGAGTAAACTGTGGCTGTATGTTACCTCCATATAATGGAGTACTATACAGTGCCCCTAAAGGGAAAAAAAGAGTAAGAAACTCTTCATATACAGGCGAGAAAGAACTCCAAGATGATTTCACTGTTAGTCTAAGAGCAAGGCTCTAACGAGCGTAGAGCATGCCACCACCAGTGTCAAGGGAACAAAGGGGGAAGGAATCATGTCCTGTGTGTGAGCATGCGTGTGCTCACACTCACACGTGTTCACACCTGTTCATACATCCATGGAATCACTCTAGAAGGAAACTATAATCTCTGTAGCCTCCTGGGAGAATGATGTTGGACTGTGTGCCTGGACAACAGGTGTGCCCATGAAGGTGAAGAAAAGTAATGTATAGAATACATTCACTACATTCTGTATTTCCTTTGGCAACTTTTGAATTTTGTACCGTATAAAATTCTTTTTGGTTAAAATTAAAATCAACAAAACAGTGCTATGGAAGATACTTTACTATTAAAAAACTCTTATAGAAATTGTGCCATTTTAAACCAATCTAGTCTTTAGGGGTGCTAAGCAGAGACTGTGGCCGGCAAACTTGCATCCTCAGACCTCACAGAGGACACAAAAGTAGTCCATTGGTAACTTTCAATTTCATATAGGAATTCTGCATTTAGTCACAAGGAAGCCATCCAGATCAACTACCATGTTAGATGTGTCAGCTTTCGGCTGCAATTTTTTATACAGAAATGGGGTATGGCAACATGAATTTCCCCAATTGATCAGAAAATCGAAGGGACTATTGCCTTCATCACAGGAATTTCTTGGGCAGCACCTTCCAGAGTGTTCCACAGAACAGCAGTTCTTTAAGAGTCAAAAAGTGGTTCCATAGTCAAATTGAGTTGTGGGAAATTAAATAAAGTATCTTTACTACAGGACTTCTCAGAGCCTTAATACAGTCATGTGAAAGTTGGAGGACAGCACAGGGACACTCCAAACATTTTACCCACAAAACCTTGTTTTACAGAGCATGTCAGTGGCCTCGTGTTCTTCTGAACCATTTCTGAGAAAGGTATTTCTGGGAAATGTAAACGACACACCTGTCATGGTGGTTATCACTGCATGCCACATGGCCCCAGAACCTAAAATGAGCCTGAGCAGCCAGCTAGCTAACTATAGATACAGATATTTAATAAAAAGTGGGAAGAAATAATTACCTACACAGCAAAAATACTAATGGCCAAAACTATAGTATTAATATGGGTAAATAAGGGCATTCTTGGCACTAAGCTGATGAGGTCCTAAAGTCTAAAGGACAATTATTCCTTCTGAGGGCTGCATTTGGTCTGATATGCAAACCACAGGTCCTTCGGGAGTACATGGGTCCAGAGGAGAGAGCCATAAGAGAGCCTGCTTGGGGTCGGAGGCAGTAGCCAAGAGCTGAGACAGAAATCTGGTATGTCACTAATATTAGATGTCCAGGCAATATATGGGAATGTATGTCAACCAAGTTCTGGATTTGGGGGAAAGTAAGAGAGCACACAAGGACTTCAAGCTCTCTCAGATTCCTACCATGAATGTGGGAAAAGTAGAGGAAGGACTCGAGCATGAATCAAGTGGCCACTAGGGAACTGTCCACTGTTGCTCAGTCACAGTCTGGGGTACAGAGAGACAACAAAATACTACTGGGGAGCTCATTTTGTTTGGTTTGGTTTTTAATGGTAAAAAGAGTATTTAGTGTGAACCACACTTACCTGCCAAGCTGCTCATTGAGGGAATCCTAAGCCTAGGAAGAGACCTAAGTAAGACTAATGGTACATTTGCTGATAGCCTGCTGCTGGAAGTAGCAATTGGGGTAAAAGGTAACCAAAACACCGAAAATAAGAAAAAGCAGATCTCAAAGAAAGTGTTAACTTGGAAAGGGCAAATATTTCAGCCTACATGAAGAGGAACATAGGAAACGTGTACAAAATACTTACCAACACCGTAGCCACATTATTTGGAAAAGCCTTTACAAGAATGGAAAAAGAAGCAGTTATTGCCGCCGCAAAGCTGACTGCATCTGCCACTCTCACTAGAAAACACATAGCAATAAATATCGGTCCTTCTGGAACTTGATCCAATACACTAAAAAAGAACAAGACAATTCTCAAATGCCAGGCTGGTTTTTATTGTATCTCGACTCACTGAAAATAGTATCTCACCCACAGTTCTCACAGTAAATCTCTTTAGAATATGATTCTTTTTTCAGTTGCTTTGTTATACTTTCAGTGGAAGGGAATTATCTCTTTGTTGGGTGACGGTCTGAGTTATAGTGACAGTTTCATTGCGCTTTTGTGCTGACAAAACTGGCCCTCTACATGATAATCCTAAATCGGCTTTCTGAAGTATGTAGAATCACCCCGACAAGAACATATACAAAAGAAAGACTCCTTGGTCTCAGGTACCCCTCAGTGGTAGAACTCAAATCTTTAAGGAAATAAAAAAGAATACAGAAAATAGAAGGCCATCCCTCCTCCCCTGCAAAAAAAGAAAAAGTAAAAAAACAAAAAACAAACAAACAAACAAAAAAACCCACTTAGTTGGATATGAAGGCTTCCTGACCTTCCTCCATCATAATCTTACCGTACTCCTTCAATTCCTCTATGCTCCCCAAGAAGTTGTGTAGGCTCTTCCATACGATTTGCCACTATGTTGTTGGTGCAAGGACTCTAAGCTTAAGAACTTTTATAGCTATTTTGCCTCTGGCACTTATTTTCCCTTTTCCGGAGGGGGGGAAACAGCACTGGGGGGAACCATTCCGAAGGGAGCACATAACTCAAACCTGGCCAATCAGAGCGCCCCCCTCCCCCACACTGCCCGTGTTGCAGGGATGGGTCACCAACAAAGATCAGGCCAATGGCTCCATTCTGTGAATCTACTGGAAGCTCAGGAAAAGTGGGAAGCTGCTGGGGAATTCTTCCTATGGGAGCTGCTGGGGAACTCTCGCTACCACAAGGGGATAGCCTATCCGAGAACACAAGAAGAGGAAAGCAAAACCAGGAGCTTGAGAAAGATTTCTGATGACGTTATTTTAACATCTGTCTCCTGAGGTGCTTCAGCTGATTCTTTAATGCACGTTGCGCTTGAGCCACAATATATCCGTGACTCAGAAAAGTGAGTTAAGTTTCTGTCACTCACACTCATAGGAGCCCTGATGAACAGATTCAGAAGCCACTTAATGGTAAGTCCTTAGAAGACCCTTTCCTTCATTTGCCCTATCCTCTAAACACCCAGTTCCCTTCACCAATAGCTACATGCCGGGCCCTCAACAGGCAATCAATGGTACTGACTGATTTAGAGAATCCGTTAACATTTTAAACTGAAGATAAATTATGAAATCTGTTCAAGTTCCCAAATATATCAGAACATGACTTACCCAAAGAGAATTGTAACTCCTCCTGAGACAAACATTCCTGCTACAAACATAAATTTTGCTCCAATTTGTACAAGCTATAATAAATGTCAGAGAAGAGTGGTAAATTGATGACTGTTACAAGTCCACATCCACATAAACAAATCCACTGCATCAGAAAATATAAGGTTTAGGAAATATATATACAATTAATATAAAATTATAATAATTCTTTAGTGGAATGACAACATACATTGCTTGCAAACATGGAAGAAGTGAAAAATCAATCAACCCATTATGGTAAATGAAATAAGTCAGTCAGAGAAAGACCAATACCATATGATCTCACTCATTTGTGGAATTTAAGAAACAAAACAAACGAGCAAAGGGGAAGAAAGAGACAGAGACCCAAACCAAGAAACAGATTCTTAACCATAGAGCACAAACTGATGGTTACCACAAGGGAGGTGGGTGGGGGTGGATGGGGGAAACAGGTGATGGGGATTAAGGAGGGCACTTGTTGTGATGAGCACCAGGTGTTTCATGGAAGTGTCGAATCACTATATTGTGCACCTGAAACTAATATTACACTGATGTTAACTAACTGGAATTCAAATAAAAACTTAAAAAAAAATCAATCAACCCTAAGAATGGAAACATCAACAGCATAATTCATAAAATATAATGGTGGCTATTTCTGTATCAATGGAAATTCTAGACTTATAAATTAGAATAACTCATTATACAATATATAAAAATTAAAATGTTCATATGAACTTTAATACTTACATATTTTCCAAATACCAAAGATGCCAGCAAGTCAAACAAAGCGTAACATCCAAAGATCATACCCGTAACTGTATTGCTGACTCCTTTCTTTTCAGCCTTTAAAGGAACAGAAAAGGACAAAGTTTGAAAGACAAATTCTCATCCATGTGGAAGGATGGAGCTATAGATCAGAGCATTGTTTTCTTGTAACCTTTATCTGCATAGCAATTTCAAAGATTATCATTTTAAAATAAGCAGGATGGGGAAGGAAGGGAAACTATAGTAAAACCTAGTCTCTGACATGAAAACTGTTCTCTCACCATACCCATAAGGAACTGTTGGCTTTATAATCTTGAGAAAGAAAAACAAAGCTGGAGGCAACGCATTTCATGATTTCAAATATAAATTACAGGGGTGCCTGAGTGGCTCAGTCGGGTGAGCATCTGACTTGATTTTAGCTCAGGTCATGATCTCAGGGTCATGAGATCAAGCCCCGGAGTGGGGCTCTGTGCTGGACATAGAGTCTGCTCAAGATTCTCTCTCTCCCTCTCCCTCTCCCTCTGCCCCGCCCCCTGCCCCCACTCTCGCACATGCATGCACACTCAATTAATTAGTTAATAACAAAGCTGAAGTAATTAAAACAGCATGGTACTGGCATAAAAACAAACATATGGAACAGATTAGAGAGCCTAGAAATAAACCCACAAACATATGGTCAATTGATCTTCCACAAGGGTGTCAAGGACACAAGGAAGAAAAGGATAGTCTCTTCAACAAATGGCACTGGGGAAACTAGACATCCACAAACAAAAGAATGAAATCGGACCCCTGTCTTATACCCACTCACGAAAGCAACCCAAAATGACTTAAATATAAGACCTGAAACTGTCAAACTCCTCAAAGGGGGGGGTGCTTCTTGACGTTGGTCTTGGCAATGATTTCTCAGATTTGACACCAAAAGCTCAGGCAATAAACCAAAAGTAGACAGATGGGATGACAACTGGGCGATCAATAAGCCAAGGAGAGAGGCCTGAACAGACCCCTCCCTCATAGTCCTCAGAAGGAACCAACCTTGCCAACACCTTGATCCCAGACTTCCAGCATCCAGAACTGTTAGACAATGAATTTCTGTTGTTTAAGCCACCCAGTTTGTGGTACTTCATTATGGCAGTGCTAGCAAACTCAAACGGGTACCTCAACAGGAAGATGTCATCAAAGGAGTCAATAAAGATATGCAAAGAACATTCACTGGTCGAGTCCCATTATCCATGCATGTCCTTTGCTTAGTCGATCTGGTAAGTATTTAATCCTAGAGTATGGCATTACTTACATAATGGCTTTGCAACTAACATTTATTGGACTCTCACTATGAGCCAGGATCTCTATTAAGTGCTGTTTTACATGCTTTCTAACAACAGTTAAACAAGGTATGTATTTTTAGCTGGCCCCGTTTTATAGATGAGGAGGCAGACGTGCAAAAATTACACGGTCATGGCAGCCATGATAGTTTCCATCTTGAGCAGGTTCCCACATGTGCTGTGGAGATGGGATGGTGACTTCAGATATCCCAGACCCACATTCCATGGCAGCAGCTAAATATCACTTTTGGCATGTGGAGGCTGCTTCCCATTAGAAAAGCAAGAAGAGCTATTAAAAGCAATTTCTAGTTCACATGTTGTCCTGTGACAAAGGAGGAGGGTGCCAGAAAAAGGATGAGTAGAAATAGGAATCCTGCACAAGAATTTAAGAAGGGCCCTGTTCCTCCTTTGTCTAACCAGCTCTAGCTAATAGGAAGGATACAGGCAGGAGGAAAAGTAAGTTTTCCCAGTGCATTTGGCAACCACTAGGCTTTATTGTAGTAAGAAATGAAAAGGAAGAGCCCACTCTTTGTATCTAGGTCTTTTAAAGTTAGAATGCTCTCTCCCTGCCTCTGTCTTCTTTCCTTCAGCCTTCCTTCCTGTAAACAAAAAAACTAAATCAAAAACTTAAAAATATAGCATAGGGAATATCAATACTTCAATAACTTTGAATGGTGACACATGGAAACTACATTCATTGTGGTGAGCACTGCATAATGTATAGAACTGTCTAATTGCTATGTTGTAGACATGAAACTAATATAACAATGTATGTCAACTCTATGGCAAACTTTTTTAAAAAGATTGGAAAAATTATTAACAAAATAATAAAAAAATCAGGGCTTCTGGGTGGCTCAGTCGGTTAAGCGTCTGCCTTCAGCTCAGGTCATGATCTCAGGGTCCCGGGATCGAGCCCCACATCAGGCTCCCTGTTCAGCGGGGGAGCCTACTTCTCCCTCTCCCTCTGCCCCTCCCTCACCTCGTGCTATCTGTCTCTCACTCTGCTCTCTCTCTCCATCAAATAAATACATAAAGTCTTTAAAAAATAAATTAAAAAAATAAAAAAAACCACACATCTGTAGTCTGGTTTTCCTTTGTATTCCACTAAGAGGAAGCCAACATTAGTTGCTCTGAGTTCCAACTAAGCCAGGAAATGCTCTGCTAACCTGCTGTTCCAGTTACTCTAGTTCTTCTCTTAATTCCAGAGGCTCTACCCATCATTTTATTTCCTGAAACCCAAAATTGATCAGGCTACTCTGTCTTGTTCAAACATCCCGGATGACTTCTCGCTGACATCTTTGGCATGCAGGGAAGGACCCTTGCCTTCCAGCGCCCCCTTGCCTCCTGTCAGACCTCCCTCCAGCCCAGTCCCAAGCCACATCAAGTTGCCTGCTTTCCCCCAAGAACATGCTATTTACTTTGGTAATCCCATGACTATCTCAACCTGTTTCTTTCCTACAACACCTTCGCCTCTGTTGTTCACCTTGAGAACTACACTTCTCAAGACTCACCTTGGATCTATCCCATGAAGTCCCTTTGAGTCCCCCCCTTTGTCTCCCTCCCTCTCTCCTTATGGAGTAGCTGCAGAGACCAAATGGGATAAATGTGTAGGAAAGCACATGGAAAACTAAAAAGCACTGTATGGGTACAGAGTCACATTGTTCCTTCAGCAGAGAAGCCATTTCCATCCTCCTTGGTAACACACAGAATGAAGGACTCCGTGTTATCAAGGCAGTGAGAGGACTGAGAGCGCAGTAGGAGCTGAGGCTTTGGCAAAGAGTGCAAAGCCAGTACCAGTCCTTTCAGGCTACATCCCACCCACCTCCAGATTTCAGGCGGATTCTCTAGGAGTTAATTCCCTTTGAGTCTGTGTCGGGGCGCCAGGGTGGCTCAGTTGGTTAAGCGTCTGCCTTCGGCCCAGGTCGTGATCTCAGGGTCCTGGGATCAAGCCCCGTGTTGGGCTCCCTGCTCAGCGGGGAGGCTGCTTCTCCCTCTGCCCTGCTCGTACTCTCTCTCTCTCAAATGAATAAATAAATAAAACCTTTAAAAAAAAGTCCCTTTGAATCTGTGTCATGACCTATAAACCCACATAAAAGGCAATGATTGGAAGGAACTAGCAAATATTAATCAGAATTCCTCCTTGGCACAAACCATCGCCACTAGATCCCATAAGAAATTCAAGTCGAAAAAGGGGGATTTAGTGGGACCATGTCTTTCTAATTCCAAAATCTTAATAAGCTAAAAACTCCAGGACACAAACTTCCTGTCTTAACACAGACCTTTTGCAATAATGCTAAAATCTCGATTACTCAGAGCACCCCCTTTGTTTCAGTTGCAGAAACCAAACAAACATTTATCAAACTACATGGTAAGCAAAGTAATCCTCAGAAGGTCAATTACATTTAGGTGAGTTATCTCCCAAGAAGATTTTCTTTCTGACTGGATTTTTTTCTCTGGTATCAAATATTCCATCAGAAGTCTTACTGTTACTAAAGTCATATGCATCATCTTTACTAAATGCAGATTTTTACATTTTACACACCATAAAATGAAATAACTCAAAGTGCTTCTTAAAAAATTAAAATTCATCAAAATATAAAAATGTCTCACCTCCTTGGGGAAAAAGGGTCCAAGGATAGAATAGCACATCATAGAACCCAAGTTAATGGAAGCTGCTGAAATCAGTACAAAGAGCTGTTCTCTTGAAAGCTGTCTGGGTGTCTCTCTTGCATTTCCTGGAGGGTCATCACCTTAAATGCAAACATGCTACAATTACAGGCATATAATTGGGATTACTGATCGAAGTTTGCCACTTTTGTGCACGCTGACGATAATATTTGCAGAGCTAAGAGCTATTCTGAATATAGCACATTTGGCCAAATGTAACACAAAACTTGTACATCACTCCCATTTTGAAAACATATCATTTTCAGGGCAGAATTTATCAAACCATCTGATCTGTTTCGCCTTCACTATTTCTTCCACCTTTAATAAATTCCTTCAAGAAGGATGAGGCAACAAGGAGATCTCCAAAGGGTACTGCTCCCTAAAGTATAATGTAATTCCTCAAGTTACTAGCTTCATATGCTACATGGACTCAAAATGTTCTAAGAAGCACATCAAGTTAGTTGTTCATTAAGCATTCTAGGGTAGTACTGAAGTTAAGTGTAGTAGGAGAAAACAAGCTAAAGCACTCAATTGGCGAATGAATACTTACAATGGCATGCTGCTGGAAAGACAAGTCCCACAAATCCACACATATTTTACACTAATAACTGGCCTTTTGCATTGGCTATTTCAATACTTATTTCCAGGGCTAAGTGTTCATTTAATTTAAAGACAACAGCTCAATTACTCAGTTTCAAATATTCAGCAAATTTATCAGTCATTTTTAAATTCAATGGCTTGGAGAAAAAGAAATTCAAGTAAGAAAACTACTTGGTTTGCTCTACTTTTCAGAGGTTGCTATTGCAGTCCAGGGGAAAAAAAAAATCTGTGCAAGATGAGGAAGTCTCAAGAATCTTTGTAAAACTTCTGGAATAGATGAGGAAGGGAACTGAAAGTTAAAAGGAGGGAGCAACAGAAGGTGCTCGAAATGTAATGTTTACCTTTGTGTAATGGCATCTTATTTGAATGCATTCCCAAACACACGATATTTATAAAAGCAGCGCTACATAGGAGAAAAGTCTTCAGAGACCTCGCTCGCTCTGGCCCTGAACTTTAACCCCCTCCGGAGAGAGAGAAACTCTAACCCGAAGCCTCCCGCCAGGCCCCAGCCTTTTCGAATCTCTCCCAAACAAACCAAGCTAAAACTAATTCAACCGTCGATAAAGGGGACAGGACCCATGCCACCAAGGGGTGTCTGTCCGCGCCGCTCTCGGTCACCTCTGGGGAGGCGTGGGCCCTCTTGGTCCCCCGGCGCCTCCATGCGCGCGATGCGCGGTGCGCGGACTCTCACGCCGCGGCTCCGGGGTCCAAGCCCGCGCCCTCGGACTCGACCTCGCAGGAGCCCACGAGCTGGCTGCGCCTGCTCAGCCTGACCCTGGCATTGTCGAATCTCCGCGGGCAGCGGTGGCCCGGGAGCTGCCCGCAGCCTGGGAGGACACCTAGGCGCTCCGGGAGGCGGGGCGGGGCCGGGGGCGGGGGTGGAACAGCGCCTTTTTTTTTTTTTTTTAAAGACACAGGCTACTACCATACTCCACGCCCTTGGATAGGCTGTACTTTTCATTCTGTATGGGGTGGGGTGAGGGGAGAACTACCTACATTCCCCCTAGCCTAAAGTGAGTAAAATGTATTTCCACTAAAGGTAAGAAAGGAAGCTTATATAGGCCTAGAAAAGATAGGCTACCACCTTACTGTCACCATCACAACTTGTGTGCATGCGCGCGCGCGCGCGCACACACACACACACACACACTCACAGGCTTCACTTATCTTCAACCTTATTTACTATTTGGGAATAGTTAATATTTGAGGACTGGGAAATTCTTGATTTGGAACCAACATAAAATTTAAAAGACTACTGAGTTACCACCTTTTTCAGTCATTGTGAATTTAGAGATGAATGAGACTCCATCCAGCCTCAAGTAGCATACCTCCATCTAGCAGGTAAAACAGACGCCTATGTTAAAATTTGTTATGATGCAATGAGTTCTGTAATAGAAACATATTGGAAGAACTCTTTACTTTGGCTAAGTGAGGCCAGGATGGCTTCCTGAGGAAGAGATGTTACCTTGTGTCTTGAAGTTTATGCAGAAATTCCTTGGGTAGGTAAGAAGAGTCTTTTTTTTTTTAAAGATTTTATTTATTTATTTGAGAGAGAGAGAGAATGAGAGATAGAAAGCACGAGAGGGAAGAGGGTCAGAGGGAGAAGCAGACTCCCTGCTGAGCAGGAAGCCCGATGTGGGACTCTATCCAGGACTCCAGGATCACAACCTGAGCCGAAGGCAGTCGCCTAACCAACTGAGCCACCCAGGCGCCCCAAGAAGAGTCTTTAGAGCCATTCGAAATAGAAGGATTAGCTGTAGCCCACTTCTTTCAAGTGGCTTTCCAGAATCTTTATTTTCTAACCCCCACTAGCTTCTCCAATCTCAATGTACTCCACAGTCCCTCTCCAGTCTAACATCAAACCATAAAGGGGAAATTTTTTTGAATTATTTCTTTGATGATTACATTTCCTTTTTTGTTTTCTCTTTCTGGACTGCTCCTTATGCAGATATTGGGTCATCTGGAGTGGCCCTCTTATTTATGACTCTTTTTCTCTTTTCATCTCTTACCGTTCTTGGTCCATCTTATAGGAATTTCACCCAACTTTATCTTCCAGTCCTTCAGCTGAATTTTTCATTTCTATTGTCATTTATTTCTCTCTATCCCCATTCTCATCCCCTGCATCAGCAATCATTCCTGCATTTTTTTTTAATTTTATTTTTAAGTAATCTCTACACCCAATGTGGAGCTCAAACTTACAACCCCAAGATTAAGAGTTGCATGCTCTACCCAATGAGCCAGCCAGACACCCCATTCTTGCATATTTAATACAAATCTTTTTGTTTGTATATGTTTTCATAAAATGTATACTCTTATTTTGCACCCATCTATTTTTCATTTATATAAAGTGTATTGTGGTATATATTCATATTCCTAACTTCCTCTCCACTTCTATCCTCTACCTCCCATCTTCCCCTCACAGGATCAATGTGACAGGGGAATATATTATCATATTAGTTTTCTGGGATTGCTGTAACAAATTTCCACAAACTTGGTGCCTTAAAACAACAGCCTTGAAGGCCAGAAGTTCAACATCTATTTCACTGAGCCAAAGTCCCAAAATGATCACCTCATCTCAAGATCTTTAACTTAATCTGCATGGACCTTTCTTTCAAATAAGGTAACAAGTTCCAGAGATTGGGATGTGAACATCTTTGGGAGCCATTATTAGCCTACCACAAGTATCCATTCACTGAAATTTTATATACTCATCATAGACATGTGGACACATATGGAAACTATGGAACCATTTTTTTTATTAAAGTGGAATATTTTGTTTAAATGCTACTTCCTCAGAGAAGTTCATTCTTGGAGGATCTTTTTATTGGATATAGAAATATCCAAAAAACTATGAAAACATTTTTTTTTACTAAAGTGGAATATTTTGTTTAAATGCTATTTCCTCAGAGAAGTTCATTCTTGGAGGATCTTTTTATTGGATATAGAAATATGGGGAGAGAGTTGTTATCTTTCAGCTTCTTCAGGACATGGTTCTACTGTTTTTGGTCGATATAATTCCTCAAGACAAATCAGTATAATTTTGAATGTTATGTCCTGGATGCTGTTTGGAATTTTCTCACTTTCTTTGAGTTTCAATAATTCACTTATATCTGTCTAGGTATGTGTGTAGTTTTTTTTCAAATTTTTATTTAAATTCTAGTTAGTTAACATACAGTGTAATACTGGTTTCAGGAGTAGAATTTAGTGATTCATCACTTACATGTAATACCCAGTGCTCATTACAAGTGCCCTCCTTAATACTGATCACCCATTTAGCCCATCCCCTGCCCACCTCCCCTCCATCAACTCTCAGTTTGTTCTTTCTAAGGAAGAGTCTTTTATGGTTTGCTTCCCTCTTTTTTTCCCTTCCCCTATGTTCATCTGTTTTGTTTTTTAAATTGCACATATGAGTGAAATCATGTTATTTGTCTTTCTCTGACTGACTTATTTCTCTTAGTATAATACCCTAGCTCCAGCCACATCATTGCAAATGGCAAGATTTCATTCTTTTTACGGCTGAGTAATATTCCATTCTGTGTGGGGTGCCCGGGTGGCTCAGTCATTAAGCGTCAGCCTTCGGCTCAGGTCATGATCCCAGGGTCCTGGGATCGAGCCCCGCATTGGGCTCCCTGCTCGGCGGGAAGCCTCCTTCTCCTTCTACCACTCTCCCTGCTTGTGTTCCCTCTCTCGCTGTCTCTCTGTCAAATAAATAAAATAAAAATCTTTAATAAGAAAAAATATTCCATCGTGTGTGTGTGCACACACACACACGCACCTTCTTTATCCATTCATCAATTAATGGACATTTGGGCTCTTTCCATAGTTTGGTTATTGTTGATAATGCTGCTATAAACATCAGAGTGTGTGTGCCCCTTGGAATCAGTATTTTTGTATCCTTTGGGTAAAAACCTAGTACTGCAATTGCTGGTTTGTAGGGTAGTTCTATTTTTAGCTTTTTGAGGAAGCTCCATACCGTTTTCCAGAGTGGCTGTACCAGTTTGCATTCCCACCAACAGTGTGAGAGAGTTCCCCTTTCTCCACATCCTCACCAACATCTGTTTTTCCTGTGTTGTTAATTTTAGCCATCCTACAGGTGTGAGATGGTAATCTCATCATGGTTTTGATTTGCATTTCCCTGATGATGAGTGATGTTGAGCATCTTTTCATGTGTCTGTTAGCCATTTGGATGTCTTCTTTAGAAAAATGTCTGTTCATATCTTTTGCCCATTTCTTTTTTTTTAATTTTTTATTGTTATGTTAATCACCATACATTACATCATTAGTTTTTGATGTGGTGCTCCATGATTCATTGTTTGTGTATAACACCCAGTGCTCCATGCAGAGCGTGCCCTCTTTAATACCCATCACCAGGCTAACCCATCCCCCCACCCCCCCTCCCTCTAGAACCCTCAGTTTGTTTTTCAGAGTCCATCGTCTCTCATGGTTCGTCTCCCCCTCCGATTTCCCCCCCTTCATTCTTCCCCTCCTGCTATCTTCTTCTTCTTTTTTTTCTTAACATATATTGCATTATTTGTTTCAGAGGTACAGATCTGTGATTCAACAGTCTTGCACAATTCACAGTGCTCACCATAGCACATACCCTCCCCAATGTCTATCACCCAGCCACCCCATCCCTCTCACCCCCCACCACTCCAGCAACCCTCAGTTTGTTTCCTGAGATTAACAATTCCTCATATCAGTGAGGTCATATGATACATGTCTTTCTCTGATTGACTTATTTCGCTCAGCATAACACCCTCTAGTTCCATCCATGTCATTACAAATGGCAAGATCTCATTCCTTTTGATGGCTGTATAATATTCCATTCTATATATATACCACTTCTTCTTTATCCATTTATCTGTCTCATCTTGGCTCTTTCCATAGTTTGGTTATTGTGGACATTGCTGCTATAAACATCGGGGTGCATGTACCCCTTCGGATCCCTACATATGTATCTTTGGGGTAAATACCCAGTAGTGCAATTGCTGGATCATATAGTAGCTCTATTTTCAACTTTTTGAGGAACCTCCATACTGTTTTCCAGAGTGGTACATGAGCTTGCATTCCCACCAACAGTGTAGGAAGGTTCCCCTTTCTCCGCACCCCCGCCAACATCTGTCATTTCCTGACTTGTTAATTTTAGCCATTCTGACTGGTGTGATGTGGTTATCTCACTGAGGTTATGATTTGGATTTCCCTGATGCGGAGCGATGTTGAGCACTTTTTCACATGTCTGTTGGCCATTTGGATGTCTTCTCTGGAAAAATGTCTGTTCATGTCATCTGCCCATTTCTTGATTGGATTATTTGTTCTTTGGGTGTTG